TAAACTTCTTTATTCGAACTTTAGTTGGTAGAAAACTAATGTATTTGAATTCAATGCATACCTCTCTCAACTGTGTCGAGAGATCTCTTTTTCTTTTGGCCTACAAAATGTTGGTAAAGCTTGTCTACCATCCACCATTTCTCCACCTCAATGCATTGAAGATTTGCTTTAGATAGTTTATCATCAGTGGATATAGATTGGTGTTTGCATATTTGAATAGCATGCGATAATGCCAGTAGTATATTTCTCTTGAAAGAGAACTAATTTACAAAGAGAATGATCACATTTAATTTATAATCCAAAGCAATACAATAATTCACCAAGATCTGTCATTTTTTATTGTTTGGTGAAGCATAAATCTGTGCTTAGTAGATGCAGTTATTAAGTCATTTATGATAAATATAATTATTCCAATCTACTTCAGTATGAGTAAAGCCTATGAATTGCATGGTTTTGACTTGCTTTAAGCCCCTAAGGTTGAGAGTCAAACTCATTGAGAGCATTGAGAGCCAAAAAGTCACTTGTGTGACTCATTTTAAGTATTAATATCAACACCAGCCAGCCAAAATTGGAGGCAACCTGTTTCATATATTTTGGAGTGGAGGGCTCATTAACAAATAAATGAGAGTGGAAAATGATAAGAAAATGAGAGATAACTTCCTTGCACCCAGGAGCTAGTGGCAGCCAAGAATGAGAGCATCCCAACAAATAGTAAGCTTTTGGGCGCCAAGATTCTGCATGGTCCTGCTTACATGAGAGTCACCCATGAAAGCTCTAGAGAACTAAGGATGGTGGCGGTGAGTATGGTCTGTGGACAGTGAGATATGGTGGCATGTTAATTTTAATTCTGGAAATCTAAGGCAATTTAAGGTTAATCATAGATTAAATATTGTCAAAGTTTTTAATATTTTACTAGATCACTTATGGGTATTATTCTAATTTTCTTAGGTCTAGTTTGCTTGTTGCTTGTCTTGGATCATATGGAGGCATGTTATGAGATCTAGGGAATACAAGTAGAGGTATCAACATTAAGGACCACAAAATGCAAGGCTCTAGGTGAGAAGTGTAATGCTGACAATGAAATAAGTGAATTCTCACATGCATAAATGATAATAACAATAGTAGCAAAAGGTGCATTTTTATTTATGGGCTATTTTCCTTTATCTTTAAATCTTGCTTTTTTTGGTTGTTTATATGTTGCTAATATGGCTAACAAGACATGTATAACTCACTTATTTGCCTAATGATTTTATTTTAAGTATGGTGTAAATTGAACTAGCCTTGATCTAACATAGTTAGTCCTAATAGAGTTTAGTGTGAACAATTTTGCAAGATTTTGAAATTATATTTTCCATGATTTTGATCTAGAACATTGATTTTAATATTTTAGAAATAGTTGTTCAGTTAAGGCTCAATTTTTGTGTTAAAAGAAATATAATTATACTCTTTTGGGTATTAAATACTATATTATAGTGTATATAATAATATAATAAAGTGTCATTTATTTATTATTATTAGTTGCACATCAATCCAGTCAGAGGCAAAAATTATAGGATGGGATGAATATGTTAATGCAAGGTAAAGAACTTGTTTTCTTATTCCTTTTGGAAAGGTATAAAAGATTTAATGACTATGCTTTGGCCGAGGAATTTCTTATAGGTAGCTAGTGAGTCTTAATATAGGGGCCCTTGCTTGGGCCCTTGCTACTAGAGGCACTAAAACTCAAAGTATAACCACCATAACAAACAACTCTTATTATTATAATGCTAACATATCAGGCAACAATAATGGCAACTTTTGAGTGTAGTAGAATTATAAAGAAGAGGATGACTAGCAAATTGATCAACTTGTTTAATAACCTAATAAGATGACATAAATTATCTACAAAAAACACTTTCACAACAAGGAAAGAAAGTATTAGTTATTTGATATATTGAATCTATAAATAAATGAAATGAAGTTACTTTTCTTTTTTTTAGTCATTTAATCATTCATAAGTCTAACATTTTGGCATGATGTGTTCCTTCTTACAGTAGACAACAACATAAAGCTCTTAAAGATGTATGGTTGTTTGTGGGGCTGTTTGCACTTACTAACACTACTTTTACACTACTATTGAAAGGTCCTCTTCCTACTATTTCTCTCTGCTATTATTAACTTGTAATTTTTAACTTGTAATTTTTGTATAGTCTTCCTTATGGCCAGTGTTGCTACTAATGCCACTAGTAAGACTTGCACAGATAATTATAGCGGGAGCAACACCTTTATACCCATATGGACCACCTCTACTAGTACCAATACTCCTCTACCATATAATTTCCAAATCCAAAGCCTCCACATCTACGATAATACTGTAAAATATTGTAAAGTGTTATAAAATGTTATTGTAAAGTAATGGTAGCAACACCTCCTTATTGGACATAGTTATATAGAGCTTGCAAACAAAGATACAATCAAAATTAAATGAATATGCATCCATACCTATACATATTATCATCATCAACTTTTTAATATTAATTTTATCCAGGAATACAAGTATCCAATTTAGTATGATATCTTTATTAGCTTTACCTCTATATTTATTTATTTGTTTCGTGGTAATAACCCTATAGCTCCCACAAGATTTCAACCCTAAAAGGATGCTATAGCTTTTTGATTTGTTCCTCTACCACCACCACCAAAAATATTGCTATTTATAATGCTGAGAACAAGTGAAATGCTACAAAAAAGTGAAATTAAAACTCAAGTAAAGTTAAGTTCTTTCGAATGTAAAATACTTACTATCCTTCACCAACTTTATATCTGATGTTGCTAGCATTTTTTCTTGATTGAACCTCATATTTACTTCCTATTCTTATTATGCTAAATGAATCATCATCATTCTAAATCACACCCTCTTATCGATCTTTAGACTAAAAATGTCAATTGATTCATTAGTTTTTAGGAGCCTTGCCATTTACATTTGATGGAGATTGATCTTCTGGTCTGTATTTAGAAACAAACTATAGTGTTTTGAATAGAAGTTAAAACTACAAATCTTACTTATCATAATTATCCATTTTTATAAAGAGTTTTGAGTGGTAGTTTATTCTTGCTTTTTTTTAGTTTTGTTCTAGTGTTAATGGTATTGAAATGATGCTTTAACTTTGATATTGTTAAAGTTGAGATGAAATGTTTCTCCTTAGATATGTTAAGGAAGTTAAATTTTCCATTTATGGTGATTCATGTGGTTGATGGTTAGTTAATTTTCATTGGAGATTAATAATTTGTTTTAGTAATCTTGATGAAAAATGGTGTTAATGATATAACTATACCTATATTGTTAACATTCATGCATTTAGCATTTAAAGGAGTTGAGTGGCAAATTGAGTTAATCTTATTTCTCAATGAAATGCTTATTAGGGGTTTAGCTTTGGCTTTTTTTAAATATTGATTTAGTCATGGACTATGTTATCTTTGTAAAATGAAACGTTAATAATTGATATTAAAGTTGTTGGATCATTGTTGGAAGGAATGATAATTATTGCATTATTATTGGTGATGGATGATTTGCTGTCTTCAATGATGATTATGCCTCTTTATTAATAGGGTGATTGACGATTTTTAGTAGTGGTTAATTATCTTCTTTGATGATTTTTGGCTTTCTATTTTACTATATATTCTTTGTGGTTCACTCTAGATTCATCTATTGGGTTTAAGATATTAATAGAATGTTGCTTACGCTTACTTTAATAACTCTAATTATTTGGTATTGTTAAGAATGACTCTCAATTTAACGAATATAAACTTTCAAAACTCATCCAGTTACCTTCATCTTATTAGATCTAGCAGACTTGTCCGAGTATATCATGTGCATGGTGAAACTATCTAGTTATAGGATAGCTATTGTCAACTAGTTATATAACTTGCCTTTCATTTGATATTCCTAATTTTGTTGAAAAGGTGTGACTATTTAAACAACTTTAACTATATCTAAACTTTATCCACAAATTTTGTTTATTTACTTATGGGGGTTGGGGTTTTAGGGTTCTGTCTTTATGTCATATGTAGGTAGGGGCATATCACCTTTTGTAAACTGGGTGACTTTTATAATAACAAGAGTGGCTAACTTCATTGATCATTTCCTTCAGCAACAGCTAAATGGTTCTTGAGTGTTAGCACATTTATGTTAGATAGAGAGGTAAGCCCATAACTCATTTAAGTTAATACATTTTTCACAAAGTAAACACTTTGAATACCATAAACTTTTTTTTGGAGTTATTTCCTTAATTGTGGTTTAAGCTAGAGTATGTATTGACAAAGAAGTTGATCTTCGCAAGGAGGGGGGGGGGGGGGGGGGGGGCCCGGAAAAAATTTCCCAAAGGGGGTTTAAAAAATTGAAAGTTCCCCATCAACCCCTTAAAAAGTTCCTCTTTTGCCACCCCGAAGACAAGAGGTTAAAATTTTTGCCCCCTTTATCAATTTCCATCTAAGCTAATTGAGAAATTGGTTATTATGTGTGTAGATAAACATAAGGTAGAACTACTATATACTTTTTGCTAAGCATACTTAACTCGATGAGGGTTGCACTTGGGAACCTCTATAATATTAAATTTAATCCCTTAATATTTGTTCTCGCTATCATTTCTTATGTGTTAGTCCCATTTTGATTCTATTAGCTATTTATGAAAAGATTTTATATTTTCTAGTTATATATATATATATATATATATATTTTATGGAATGTAGAGATTGTTCTAAACATAATTTGATTTTGTCCTAAAAATTAACTATTAGGATTAGGATGAAATCCCAAAGCATGCTTTCAAATGGGGGTTCCAAATATAGTAGAGATAGTAAGTAAGTTAGGCATGACCAACTAATTTAAGATATATTTTAGTTCTTTGTTTAAGTGTTTTTGTTTTTGTTTTGTGTCCAACTTGGTTTAAACCCAAGCTCCATACTATACAAAGTGGTGGAATACTTATATCCTTGTATTAGACCATTAGTATGATGAAATAACATCAATTGAATCCATTATTATAACCCACTTAAAATCATCATGTTTACAAATTTTTCACAATCTATAAATCCTTTTATTTCTCTAGTGAATGATTCAAAGCTCTACTTTTAAGCAGTAAAGAATTCAGATTGCAATTTTTAATGTTTCTTCATAAGTATAGGATTCATCTCTTTTAACACCAAAATGGTCAAAGTGGCATTATGGAGAGGAAAATGCTCTCAACTTTAAATATCACTTGATATATCATGAACTATACAATTCTAATTTTTTATTTTTTTTTGAAGTAGCTCATATAGTTATTTGCCTGAGTCACACTAGAGTAGTGCTTGTACAAATGAAATCCAAAGGTTGATCATATTTGAGTTTTTTGCTATCTAAATTATGCTCATATATTAATTGAAGTTCATTAACATTTTGATTAATATTGCATATTATTTGAATAGTTTCTCTAAACTGATTTAGATAAAACATTAATCTAGTGCCTTAGACTAAACTTTGTTTAAACAAATATTGGGCTCATGGGATTGATGGGATTCCAGAAGAAGGGTGTGTGATTTAAGGAGATCCTAAAAACCATTTGGGAGAGTGGTATATAATCAAATTTTGGGGTAGCATGACATTGTTATTGGTCTTAATGAAATAGCATAGGCACAACTGTGTTAAATTCATAAAGCCCTTTCTTACAATCAAAGCAATCAAGAATCTCTTTCCTTTCACAATCTTTCTCTTGCCCTAATTTCTGTACCTAGAAGGAGCACTAAATTGGTTCAGTTCCAAAAGTTTTGAATCCCATGATACAATACAAAATTTTTTTGACCTTCAATTTGTATATTTTTAGTAAGTTCTTGACTATGATTGCTACTGAAGCATCTTTGGCTGCACTTTAATGTGTATGTCCTTTCCTAGCTAAAATGATATTTTAAAAGAACTAGAGAATTTAGAAAGTGCTAAGTTGAAAATGCATAGCATCTCCAATCTATTGCATTGGAAGCAAAAAGCATGATAAATTAATTATCATTAAATTTTCACATAGAACATTCCACCCATTATGAGAAATTAATCTAAAGCAGCAATTCTAACGTTGCTATATTGACGAGATTTGTGACGAGTAGCGTGGGCTGTGAGAAGAATGGCGAATGATCAGATGGAAGCTCAAGCACTAACTTTGGTGGTGTTCTCCGTATGAGATCTTCCTGATCAGTGGGCTGGAGCGCATGATCAAACGTTGCCTTGATGAAGTAGCGAGGGACTCTGCCATAACGAGCCCTTGTGAAGTTGACAGTGGGATCAAGAAATGGGAAGGACTTGAGGAGCGTTTTGGCGAGCACCACATCCTGCTCCAGGAAATACATACTTGGTTTACGTGGCCTATAGCAACAGTATAGCACACCTTGGTTGGAGAGGTGTTGTAGAGGAAGTTTTGGACCGTGGCAAAGTTATAACTCACTGAAACTGGTGTGCCCGAGCCGTTTGCGTACTCCACGATCACGTTGTTTCCAAAAGTTTGAAATATCTAAACTAGATCGGATAACGCAATTGTCAGGAACTCTTCAATCAAACGGACCACTAGAAAGAAGATACCTGCTTGAAGAGAGTCGCAGCAATTGGCCCACTGGGAAGCATCAAAGCAGAGAGGTATACCGCTGCTGCGATCTTCTCGGGATACATCTCGAGAACCAAAGTTAAGCTTAATCCCGCAAGGCTGCTCCCAACAAGAACCACCTGAATCAATGCAAGGAAAAGCTCATGATCGCCACCAAAAAGAAAAAGAAGAGATGATAAACTTTTCAACAGCAACAGCAACAACAACAACAAAACAACATCATCAACAACAATAACCTTTTCGTTTGCCGGCAGAGACTCCAAGATCTGGATCAATGGAGCCGAGTATTGCTCCAAAGTTTTCACTGCTTGGACGTCCGTACGGTCTCGTCCAGCGCTTGCCAAGTCTGGAGCATCCACTTGATGTCCTGCTGCTTGGAGTCTCTGAGTGACTTCAAACCAGCTCCACGCGCCCTCTCCCGCTCCATGGATGAGAACAAAGTGGAAGCCAGCATTGGATCGATCGAGCAAGAAAGACAACAGAAAGACGAAGATCAGTGCCAAAGTCTTCATTTCTGAATATCTATAATCAGGAAGAACCTCACAGACTCTTTGGTACCGTGCGAATGAGAGGACTGCTCAATTTATGCACAAAAGCTTCTCCTCTCATCGTCAAGAGCTGATCTAACTCGCCTTTTTGGCGATGCCGACACAATTGATTCGATTTACCTGAAGGCAAGGACTTTTTGGCAGCAGTATCTATCTTATTCCATAAATCTGGTTGCTTACCTTCGAAGATCCACTTGTGTTACTGACTTGCAAATGAATTTCCACCACTGAAATAAATGGAAGAGCAAAACACATCACTCCCACAAACAAAATTCAACACCAGCTTGACCTTTTTGCAACCTTTTTGACGTTCACTCGGACGTGAAACAATTGCTCTCGTACGGAAGAACGTCGCCAAAACTTCGGTAACAGTGAACAGGATCTTGACCGTGGGAGCGTTTTTCCAGTGGTCTCTTTTTGGCACGTCGGGAATGCAGTTCACCGCTGGAGTCCCAACTTTAAGACAGCGACTTAGAAGACAGCAGGTCTCTGGCTCTTCTTACCATAAATTCTACCTGAAGAATAAATGAGCTCTCGAATCCTCTCTCGACATGCAAGGCCATCTTTTCTTGGTTTCGGTTTTCATCGAGAACGCAAGATTACAAGGGGAATCCTGCAGCCTCCATGTCTCGTCTCCAATTGCCGAAGCTCTGGTGCCGGACGCCAAGTTCTCGTCGTCGCCAACAATGCCGGATATCTCTTTGGCCAGGATAAGCCGCTCAATCATCAGCCGCTGGGGACTTCGCAGTGGCAGTGTGGCTTACAGGGAGTCGAAAGCGGCATTGGTCCAGTGTTGCCAGGAATTGATGGTCTGTCCATCATCATCCTTCGTTAGAGGAGTTTTCGAGCAGATGCCTCAGCACAACATACTGCGAAAGTATTCTGATAAGACAATTGTAATTCAAAAAATATTTGTTGAATCCACGCCCTTACGGGATAAGAAAGGGAAGAATTCTTTGTGCTAATAAATTTATGCACATGAAGTAAAAAAACTCAATATGTCTTGTCGGTCCACTTGCCGTCCTCAAGAGTTACTTCTACAAAGGTGTATTTTTGCATGAAGACACGTGGCATGTTCTGCAAGTGATCAAGCTCTTGCAGCAGCCCAGCGAAGGACCTGGCAAGGCTCTCACTAACGAATCCCTCATAGCACACTCTTGCCCACCAAGGTGGCTTAACTCGCAGTGGCTCAAATTGCTCGCTGCTCCAGACGATCTCATGGAGAATTACTCACTGGTCTCCTGCGTGATGGCGCGGCTGAGTCTTCAATTTAAAAGCTGAACTTTGGCCCCAGCGTTGGTTAACCACGGTTAGCTAGGTAGCAGCCATCAGAGTGCCTCCATTGGCGGGACCAGATGTCACCGCAGTAAAGCGTCGTGCTGCAGCGATCAAGCTTTGTGATCTTCAAAGAAGCCCTGCATTAGGAATTATCATAGCAGCCAACTGCAACAACATCAAACTTCCCAGTTTTCATGGAGCAGCTAAAATTAATATGTTATTACAACTCTCAATCTTGTTCATCTCGAGCATTCTCAACTTGCTTGAAGAACCATGCCACTTAATGTGCATAACGGACAGTCAAACAAGACGTGGTATACATCTTCCACCAATATATGCAAATGCGGAGAGATCGAGGAAGAAGTGGGCGTTGGTGGCGACCATTTTCCACCTGAAGTCTGTCTGTAAGCTGCAATAGTGTGGCGAACCCCAAGGAGCACAATGGTGGTATCCTATGAATCCCAGTATACTACTTGGATTAACAAATGCCTAGTATATGTCGTACTGCATCGGTTGAGATGTTCTGTTTTATCTAGTCATCTATTTTTCCACGTCTGAGAACAGGTCTGACACAAGCGGTACCTGCCTCTGCAGCGAGCTGCTGGCCATCCTCGAACCACACCGTTGCCAACTTCAAACTTCAAACAAAACTCTAGATACATGTAACATCATCGTCATAGCATTGCTTCAAGCGAAAGCCTCACCTACATTCCACCTCTTGCAACTCATTAATCCAATTGATCAAATAAAGTTTATAATTATAAGCATGTTTGTAATTTATAAACACAAGATTAATCTTATTTCATATCAACCATTAGATGGTAGAATAAAAAATAATATATTAGAAAGGGTTTAAGAAAGTTTATAAATTATATACGTGTTTATAAATTAGGATTAATTTAAATAACAAGATGGTAGAATATCCTAGAATATCTAAGTATATTCTAAGTATATCCACTATCATCCCAGTTTGGTTAAGCAAACCAAAAAGATAGAAATTTTTTTATATATTAAAATTTCTAATATTTAATAACTATGAAGATTATAGTTCCTTTTACATTTATACTATATTAAGTGGTCATTCAACATCACATTTATTCTTATTTTATAATTATAACATTTATGTCATGTTTTGGTTGTGAATAAATAATAGATTGTTCATATAATTCTAGAGAGAGGTATAAATAAAGTGAGATTATTAAAATATTAAAAAATAAAGGATTTCACTGAAGACATAAATATTTATGCATCAGTTATTGAAATATCTGAAGAGATTTTATAGATGTAGCTTTTTTAGGTATAAAATATCTGCTATTTTTGGTAATTTAAACTAATTAAAATGAAATTATAAATAGTTTATAGCATTATCATCACTACTAAACAATCTGAAGTAAATGCAAGTTCTTTATTATAGCTTTTGGCATAATCTACACAAAAATATCACACTTTTCTATAATATATTTTGTAATATATAATACAAGTTGTCTTATTTTTGAAAGAAAGCATTTATGTAAAAAGAAATACAGTAAAATCTTTAGTTTATATTAATTAGTTACAATGAATTAAATTTGTACTTTTGAATGATCAATTTAAACTTTAATAATATTTTTTGGCCACTAACCCCCAATTTCAACTTTAACTCAATTTAGAAGCATTATTAGAGAGTTCTTTCAAGACTAAGTGTGCACCCGAGGCTTAGGATTTAATGGGTCCTATCTTATTCAAGTCTATACCAAAAGATATGAAGAACCTAAAAGTTTAGTGTGCTTAACTTTTTGTGTCTGTAGGGAGTGTAGCCAAACCTTAAGTCTAGTCTAACCCAGAGAGGGGGATTAAGAACACTTCATAACTTATGTAGTGAATAGTTGAAATCAAGTAAGAGCTGGTACAATAAGTGGGAACCTTGGAATGGAACTTAACTAAAGTTAAGGCAATAATGGTCAAATAAATAAGGTAAGTTGGCAAATTAGAAAGGAAAAATTTATAGCTTACAATTTGGTATCGAAGCCTTTTCCTTAGTTCTAACGAAGGATAGAGACTGATTATTGGGAAATGGCTAAGGCAAGGTATAAAAAAACTAAGACAGAGATAGAATTTCTTCTGATGCTAAAGCCTTTGGTCAAATAAAAGTTATGGATGAGAAATTCTTGCACAAGAAAGACTCTAGTGAGGAAACTTCTAAAAAAGAGTCAAGTGGTGAAGTTTGGTTATCCAAAGCTTGATTAAATGTTGTAAAAAGACAATTGGCATAGACCAATACTTTGTTGGAGACCTTTGTACACAAGCTAAAATATGATGAAAAGCAAAAGAAAAAGTAAAATATTACAAATGTTAGTAGTGCAAAAAGTATGGACCTTTAGTAGGGAGTGAGGCACAAAGTTAAACAAACCGAAGTGAATTCAGTCCCTCAAACAGTTCCCAAGTACAAACAAAAGCCCTTATTTGTGTTCAAAGGAGTGAATGTGTAAGCCACAAATTTTTCCTTTCCAATTTGCCAGCTTACCTCGTCTATCCGACCAACTCTGCCTTGGCTTGTGCTAAGTTCCCTCGCCAAGGTTCCCGCCTATGGTACCAGCTCCTACTTGGTCCTACTTGGTTTCAGCTACTCACTGCACGAGCAACGGAGTGTTAGCCATCCATCTACGGATTCCCAAATCTCTCCCAATCCCCTTCCCCGGGTTAGACTGGACTTAAGGTTCGGCTACACTCTCCGCAGGCACAAGCAGCCAAGCACACCAAGCCTCCAGGTTCCTAACACCCCTTGGTACCACAAGACTTGATCATGGGACCCTCTAAATCCCAAGTCTTGGGTGCAGCACTTGCTTCGGGACGTCGGGGTGAAACACCGTGGCCTAACGGCCCGGTATGGGTACCTCTACCCCCCCACTTCCATCCCGAAGGGAAGGCCCAAGCCCCTAGGAAGGGCGAGGACCAATGAGCCACAAGGTACTCAAGTGGGGCACCACTCCACATGAGCCGGGAGCACCACAGTCGGTTTCCCTTTCGGGAGTGGAAGCTGCTCTTGAGCACTTCCCTGGGTGGCCCCTCCGGCACCACTCAAGCCCATACTCACTCCCACCCAAGGCCCCTTGGCCCCAGTCTCAACCTCAAGTCAGTTTGGAAGCACTACTGGAGAGTTCCTTCAAGACTGGTTCCTGGACCTCACTATCCCTACTATACTTTTGGAACCCCCTACAGCCCCCCCCCCCCCTGGGAGACGCACACTTTGGGCTTTCACCTCTTGACCCGTATTAGTATTTGGACTTAGTTTCTGGCTCGGTCTCGGACCCGATTTCGGATCCGACTTCGGATTCGGTCTCGGACTCGATCTCGGACTCGATCTCGGACCTGATCTCGGACCCGACCTCGGACCCGACCTCGGACTCGACCTCGGACTCGGTCTCGGACCCGATTTCGGATCTCGGACTCCATCTCGAACTCGGTCTCGAACTCAGACTCGAACTCGGTCCCCGAGTTGGTCTCGGACTCGATTCCGGACTCTATCTCGAACTCAGTCCTAGAGTCGGTCTTGGACTCGATCTTCGACTTGGTCCCATTCGATGAACTCTTTGTCATTTTGGTCATGCTTTTGGGGTTCCTTTAGCCTACGACACCTCGGCGAGTTGGTTCCTTACAACTCCACCACCCATAGAAGAGGTTCGATGCCCACATCGAACGTCTTGTTTTATCCTACGACTTGTTGACCATGTCT